CCATTTTTAATTCATTGGCACCTCCAAACAGGTGTCTGGGAGCTCCAGCAGTCAATTCATCTACTTTTTGGGAAGAGGCTTATTTTGATTAATTGAAGTAACATCAAATTTGCTATTTAAAAAATGAGGATTTCAGTCGCATTGAGAATATTCACAATGTGCAATGATCACTAATTAGGTAATTAGTTCAGCATGTCGCTTACTCCCAAAGGAAACTGCATACTTACCAAATTGTTTCCTAATCCCCCTTCCTTTGGCCTCTTGAAAGGACAAATCTGTGCTCTGTTTCTATGGAATTAGTTATGAAGGATATTGAGTGTAAATGGGATTGTACACTATATAGCCCATTACACCTGTCTTCTTTGACTTCGTGTGATGCTTTTGGGGTCATTCATGCTATACCAGACATTAGAGCTTCATTCTTTTCTATATTATACAACACATCTTGATGTAGTACACCCTGGTGGATGTTTGAACCATTTCTACCTTTTTAGCTATGTGCTTTTAACATGTGTGCATGCTCTTTTTTCTTCTGAGGGTAAATGCAGAATTGCTAAGTATAAGGTAATACATATAGCATTTTTAGGAACAATTTCCTATTGTAAAGGTTGAACTTGATACTTTCACCTACAATGTAGGAGGGCTGTAATTTCTCTGTAACTTTGATTTACATTTTCCTAGCCCAAAGATGAGTTTGTTGATACATCATCTCAGGAAGCTTAACTGTTCAAGTCCTTGGGCCATTATCAGATTTGAGGGTTTTTTTTCCCCTTCTTATTGCTGAGTTGCTCTAAAGCTGTTTAAAGCATGTAGTTTAATTATGCTGTGTTGCATATTGGACATTCATATCCATCTTAGAGGTGGGTGTATTGATGAGGGGCAAACAGGGAGAGGAAAAAGTAGAAAGCAGAGGATAGGGGAATTTGGAGGATGCCTTGAAAGTATGAAATACCAAGATTTGTCTTCTCTCATCTTTCAGAGAAGTTTGACGTCTATGCAAGTCCCAGAATCTGTGGCTCAACTTCATGTTCATTGCCCATGTCAAGCTCATAGAGAACCATTTGTCTTGTCCCAGAGCTGGGGAGGAACCCAAAGGTCTCATTCATTCTAGGCAAGTTCTCTACCACTGAGCTACATTTTCAGTCCAAGAATGATTGGGGTTTTTTGTTTGCTCGTTTTATTTTGTTTTGTTTTGCATGTGCTGTACACACGTTTGCTTACTAAGCCTCACAGTTGTGCCCAGTTGGTGCTTTTATTCTAACATTATATGTGAGAGGAATCAAAAGTCAGAACAAGTGACTGGCCCAAAAACATAACCAGAAGGAAGCTGAAGGGACAGGGGTGTGGGGTGGAGGATTCCTCCTTCGCAAATTTCTATCCTTTTTTTTTTTCTTATTCCAGAGGCAGATTAGGAAGTCCCCAAACATTTTCTTTTCCTTTGTTTTTTATGTCCATCAGACAGTCCTTCCCAAGACTAACACTGGTGTTTTATCTGATATGGAAATTTTATAAGCACGTCCCTACTTGACGTCTTTAATGGCCTGTTATTCTCCGGGACCCATCTTTGCTTTCATGCCAGGGTCTTTCACTCCCTCATTAGTGATCTACCTCTAGAGCCGCGTCAGAGGGCTCCTGAGTGCTTGGATCTGTTTCAGAGTGTCGTCTCACAACACTGAGTTCCCTCTGCCAGGAATGTATTACACACACACCCTGGCCCATTTTGTGGGTCTTTCCCCATGCCATAAAATGCACCAGTATTGGCAAAGAAAGGAATCAGGGCAGAGAGGATAAAAGCTGTCAGTATTTACCTGCCTCACCTTGACTTCCTGCAACAAGCAAGGGAATCAACTAGAAAGCTAATGAGACAGCTCAGTAGTCAAGGCCAAGACACAGTCACATCACTGGATCTCCTAATCACCCACAGTAACATTTTAGAACGTGGAGTAGGAGGCCAAACTCTTAGTCATAAGAGAATCAAAAATAATGAAACACCAGAAACAAACTTAAAAATATGTAAGTCTCTATTACAAAACTTTCTAAAGCATGACTGAAAGGTAAGGGAAGAGCACCCAAATATGTGAGAACACACTCGCTATTTCTGTACAAGAAGTTTAAATTCATGATCATGAGCCCTAGGCTGCTCCACTTGAGGTGTGTTATCATCTCCACCAAGTTTCTCTGCCTTCTCTCAGGAAAGTTTTAGTACAGGTGAAACTGTTAGGTGATCTATGTATCAAATATAAGGTAGAAAATGATGTGTCTAGCACACCCAGCCCAGCGTCAGACACCTAGCCCTGACCAAGCCATGTGTATGCTCTGAGTTACGGGTGCTGCCCGGCAGATGTGCTGGATTTACCTAATATTTGCTGCTGTGTGAGTACTTGCTGCCTTTCTTTGTCTGTTATCTTTTGGTTGTACACAGATAACTCTACAGTAATTTAACTTCTGTCCTAGTTGTAACCAATACCCTTAAAGGTCCCTTGTCCCACTTATAACCAATCTTTCCAAAAGGGAATTGGATTTTAATACTTCAGGTTACTTTTGCCAGTTTCTGGATTTTTGTTTGCTTATACTTTATATTTTAAAAGTTAATCATTGTTGTTTATGTTGTGTGTGTGTGTGTGTGTGTCTGTGTGTAAATGCATCCCACTACTAGTGTGTGGACATGTGGAAGTCGTAGGCCAACTTTGTGGTGACGGTTCTGTCCTTCACCTTTGCATGGTCGCTGTCGTCGCTCACACACCCTTTCTGACTTCCTCTCCTAGACGACACGCAGAGGTGCAGACAGGCTCTGTTTGTAGCTGTTTGTTACTGTCATCGCTGTATTTATAACTAGTCTTATTGTTGTGTGTTTACATCACTCTCAATTGGGGGTGTCTAACACCACACTGCAGTCTCGTGTATGTCTTTCATGCGTGGGTGTGGATTTTCATTGACTGTGTAGCTGGGAATAGAAGTCTGACAGGGTGTTAAACTTCAGGAGGTAATAGCAAAGAGATCTGAAGAGCATTTGTATTCCTACCTGTAAGGGGCGTGGGAGACTGCTGGCGCCAACAGTCTCCATCAACACTCAGCATGCCTGTCAGTCTTGTTAATTTGGCTTTTCTGTTGGGTGGGTTTCATTTCACTGTAGATTTATTTTGCATTTCTCAGTTGACAGAAAATGTTTCCTCAAGTGCTTTTTTTCGGCTATTTGGATTATTACATGAGGATGATGTTCCATCCTTTAGGAATGGATTATCTATCGCTTTCATTTCCAGGAGTCTTTTCTAGATATGATTGATTGCTAGTGAGGGAATTACAAGTTCTCCTGGTTCACACTTTGCGTTTTTATATCTCCCCTCCCCTCTCTTTCTTCCTTCCTTTCATTCTCCCCCTTCTCCCCTCTCTTTCTTTTCTTTTTCGATAGGGTCTCTCTATATAACCCTGGTTATCCTGGAACTCACTCTGTAGACTAGACTGACCTCAAACTCAGAGATTCGCCTCCCTCTGACAGCCAAGTACTGGACTTAAAGGTGTGTGCTACACCCAGCTCTTGCTGCACAAAGCTGCCCAGCAGAGATCAATCCCTGGGTCCCATATAAAGACTGAAGGGGAGAAGCAACTCCACCAAGCTGCTGGCGAGACTGTTCTTTCTTCCCTGCTCTGCAACACCATCTTAACAGAATGACTGTCAGTTTCTCCTCTTGGCTTAGTTTACTGTCCTCACAGCATTGCCACTCCGCCTTGAAATCTGATGGAAGGAAATTTCTTCAGGGGCTTTCACCTTGTTCTTCAAGAGTGTTGCGACTAATTCTGGCCTTTTTTTAACATATCTTAATAAATGAATTAATGTTAATTAATTGTGCATATGCATATTTGTTGTTTGCTCATGTGTGTGCATGTATGTGCATGTGTGTGTCTCTGTATGTGTGCATGTTTGTGCATGTGTGTCTCTGTATGTGTGCATGTATGTGCATGTGTGTGTCTCTGTATGTGTGCATGTATGTGCATGTGTGTGTCTCTGTATGTGTGCATGTAGACCAAAGGCCAACATCTGGTGTCTTCCCCTATCATCCTTCCCCTTATTTTTTTGAGATATGGTTTTTTACTTAGCCTGAGCTCACTGATTTTACAGTTGCCCAGAGAGTTTTAGGAATCCTTCTGGCTCCACCTCACCATCTCTGGGATTATGGGTGCATGGCACAATGCCTGACTTTTTTATGTGGGTGCTGAAGATTCAAACAGGTCCTCAATGGAGCCATCTCCTCAGCTCTCTCATGTGATTTCAGAGTTGGTTTGTTAATTTCTCTATTCAAAATGCTTTTGACATTGATGAGCTTGGTGGTAGACACCTATAACACCAGTCGCTGGGAAACAAAGGAGGATTGGTATAAGTTCAAGGCCAGCCTGGTTTACTTAGTGAGTTCCAGACCCGTCATGATTATAGAGTGAGAAACTGTCTAAAATATCAAAACTCTGAAGTGGAAGGGTTCCGGGGATGTGTGGATGTAGTTCAGTGATAGATTGGCCCTGCTTTTGATTCTTAATATTGGGCAGAGGTAAGGATAAGAGGAGAAAAGAAAGTGGGTGGTTGAACATTGAAATTTCACTGAATCTATTGGTCAATTTGGAAGATCACATCAAGATCCCCTCTAGATGGCTTTTCTACTGTGCTATGTTTTTTATTTGCCATAATTAATTCTGACATTAGTCATATGATATGAGATGTTGAACTCTGTTTAGCCTTGGGCTAGTCAATTGCTAGAATCATGCACCTCATGCACCTTTGACCAAACACTCATCAAAGCAACCAATGATTCAGGTTTTAAAAGATTGAGCATAGTTTCTGGTTACTTCACGCCCTCCTATGAAACCGTAGGAACCTGCTGCTCCTGGATTGGGAAATCTGGGTCCCTTCCCAGTTGCTTTTGGGACTTCACAGGCCTGTAAGGTGCAGGCAGTGTGCTCTGCAGTCCTCCGCTGCAGTGCGCTCTGAGGTCCCCCGCTGCAGTGTGCTCAGCAGTTCTCCCCATTTCCGGCTACAAACTTCTCTTCAGCAACTGCTGGAGTCTGTTAAGACCTCTGCCCTCCAGCAGAAGAGCGTGTGAACAAACCACTAAGGCGTCCCATCAGGAAAAGGTAATCATTTCCTGTGCATAGAGCTGACCTGGAGACTCTCTCTGTATCCTCAGGAGCCTTCTCCTCCTTGCTTATTTCCAGCCCCCACCAGCCCACAGAACTTCAGGTGTGATCTGCTCCTTTCCTGCCTGGGGTTTTATCACTGGACAATTTCCTGTCCAGGCACCTTGGGACTTTCTGCTAAAATTTCATTCTCCAGGTCATAAGGAGTGAGAGTAACCAAATCGTGCCTTACTACATAAGAAACTGCTAAACAGTTGCTCTGTTGGTAAGGGGAAGGGCTCACTCACTGTTCAACCCTTCAGGATACTCATCTTCAAACAGGACCATGGTGACAGTCTCCGAATTTAACTTTTATAGACTTTTTGGAAAGGTCCCATTTATCCATCAGACTAAAAAAAACATTTTATTTTGCTTAATTAAATGATAAGAACTTTTTGATGTTCCAGCTACACAAGGAATATGCTAAGCACACGATCACCATAGCTTAATGATGAAATGAGTTTAGTCATTAAAAATAAATTCAGCTATATTGGGACTCTTGCTCAATGATGCTTAAAGCCACCTCGCCATATTGCTCTGCAGTCAGGTTTCACACCCACCCACCCACTTGTAGGACTGGCTTCTCAAATAGAGGCCATTTGTTCTTCAAGTGTGCCTTTTCAATTCTCCTAAGGTTGCTTTGTAAGTTCATTATAGGAAGTGGAGTTCTTCTGCTCAGGAAGAGAAGCGACTGAGATCGGACTCTGCATGTGCTTCCTTTTTGAGATACTGACCACAGAATTTGTTTATGACTATCTTTAGCACGAACAGGAAGCCTATGATGAAATGGAAGAGGGAATTGAGTTATAAATGTTATAAAACGTATGGGAAATGTGTTCCAAATGATTCAGTGGCTTAAAAAGGGGCCCTGGAAAACCATGAATGTCGCAACATAGGCTTGTTTTCTCAGTAGCAGGGAGGCCGTTACATGCCAGCCTCTCTTTCTGTCCCTGATAGAAGGATTTGGGTGGGACCAGAGCTCGGTCTGCATGCAGAGAGTGTTTCTCTGTGTAAAAGTCTGCCTTGTTTGTACAAAGGTTGGAGCAGGAGAACTGACTTCTCAGAAGTACCCAGATCTTAGCCTTGACCACCATCGTGACTTGGATTTTTAACCATGGTGGTTCTATCAAGGAATTCTAAAGCAAGAGACGGGTGTCCGGGAGAGTGTTTTACGTATTCATGTCACTCCGGGAGTAGTAAGCACCCTTTGCCTGTAATTCATTTCTTCCCAGTTCTGCTTCTTTATTGCGTGAGGTTTCCCCATCAGTCAGTGGAGGCCAGGCTATGCTGCTGTAACAGCAAAAATGCAGTTACCTATGGCTGAATTAAGAGTTGCTAATGGGTGGTGACAAAACTATTACCACAGGCAGGAAGAATGTCCTTCCTCTTCTGCCTAGGGGACAATGTTTGTCATGATGGCATTCAGAGTGAGGTGGCAAGCATAGTCCCAGCTGACTTTTAGCGCAAATACAGATTTGCTCTTCTAAACCAGGAAGATGCAACATCAGGACTTATTTTAGCCTGTCTGGTATACTAGTAAATTGGTAAGCAAATACACACCCACATGGGTTAAATAGTCAGCTCAAGACTAGTGGAGGGCTGGGGAAGCCATGCGTGGCTTCTAAGACATGGCCCTGACTCCGTATTATGTCTGGTAGGACTTGGATTTGAAAAACATGTTTGTTTCCATCCACAACCAAGTCCTCATTGTGCTTGCAGGAACTTGCTGGAAGGAACTTGGCTTATTTTCTGTTTATTTATATTTTGTAGAGAGCAATGCAACTTTATTTTAGGAGGAGAAGGGGCATTTGCATTGCAAATAGTGTGACCAACCACCTAAGTCTCCTTGGGACTCAGGTATTGCCGAGGGTAGTCTAGTCTACCAAGAAAGACTCAGACAAAGTGGGACCTGCATCGCTGGGATGCTGCCTACTAGCAACACCTTAGATTTAGACGGCTTAGGGTCACAGTGTCCCTTGCAATTCTTTCCACCACAGTGTTTTATTGTGCTTCATGTTCAGTGAACACAAAACTCTGGGCTCCAGAGTCTAAGGACCGACCATTCCACTTTCTCCTCTCAGGGCCTTGTGGTGCCTACAACCTCCGAAGAGCACAGGAGACACTGAGCACATGAACAGGGTATCTTGAATGCGATTGGCTTTTTCTCCCTTGAGGCTATAATTGGCTTTTCCCCCACATGAGACCTTTTTCCTTTAAGTCACAATTGTACCCAGGTGCCAACTTAAATGTGAAGAAGGGAGGGAATCTTTCTTTGTTGTCGCCGCGAGCTTGTGTGACGTCTCCAGTGTGCCCATAGTATAAAATTACATAAACGAAGCCCTGAGCTTCAGCCTCAGTATTCCTTAATAGACCGATTGAATAATTGAATCTCCTTGTTTGGTATTTGTTACAGACACAAGGTCATGGGACCATTGGTTGTTGGAGGTTGTAGAGACATATGTTGTAAATTTGATTGCTGTTTCTGGTCACTGGATAGGTTGTGACTGAAGACCCAGGCTTCCCAAGTCTGCCCTCCCTCCCCTTGGGAATGCAGAGCAATGTGCCCTCCAAAACCAGAGGCAGGAAGAAAGTCTCCCCAGGGCACGCCTCACACTCATGCCCAGTTAAGGACAGTAGCAGCAGATGAAGTAGTTTGCTCCAGAGAATTAGAACCAGATTACCCTCCCGTCGAACCTTGCACAGCAGCCTAAGAGGTGTGCCAAGAGTCTGTGGTTCCTGACTCCTCAGCCCTCTCCGCTTTCATCCGTCCTCTCTCCTAAATGACTAAGATTCTCTGAGATGTTTGTTAGAGTCTATGAGGAGCCCCTGAGGTGCTGTGGGGACATCAGTGAGTTTGTAGCCTTGCCCAGCCTCAGGTTCCTCGTCTAGGAAATTGTTCTTATTACGCTTCTCTTTGTTTCGTCTTATGTTGACTCAACTTGTTTTTTGTCAATTTCAAATATGTACGGAGTGCATCCTTGTTGCTTTCCCTCCCATTCCCTTTTACCTCCCTCCTGCCCCTGACAGGAGAGATGAAAATTAAATGCGGCATTAAAATAAAGGGATGAATCACTTAGAAAAGATATCTGGCTCCTGACAGTGAAGACGTGGAAGCTAAGGTATGTTAATGGGTGCTTGAGTCATTGCTGAATTTTAATAGAATGAAGCCATCCAGACAAACCACTGGGAACACGTCGTTGTCACTACACTTGGTTCTGTACAGCAAACAGTCTAGGCCATTAGGAAATGTCAGTCATATTCATATCCTGTTAGAACATGCCAACCCTCAAATTTGCAGCGATATTTACTGGGGTTCTTACACGAGCCATTTCCTTTACCCATACTCCTCAAAAAGCCCCTTCCTAGCACACCACCTGTATTCTGAGCATAAACTGTTTCGATTGATAAAACTTATCAAAGGCCGATTTGAAAAATGCTTGTATGAGAAGAATACTGTATTATATGGAATGCTGCACTGGCTTGCTCTCCCGGGTATGCTCAACCTGTTGCCTTATAGAAACCAGGACCACCTGCCCAGGGATGGCACCACTCACAGTGGGCTGTGATGTAGGAGAGTCTTCTATCTATCTGTTGCTTTTATTGGTTAATTAATAAAGAAAACTGCCTGGCCTGATAAGTCAGAACATAGGTAGGCGGGGAAAACAGAACTGAACTCTGGGAGGAAGAAAGCAGGGTCAGAGAGCCGCCCGCCATGAAGCTGCCAGGTTCATGCTGAATCTTTCCTGGTAAGCCACGAACTCGTGATGGCAGACAGAATATTAGAAATGGGTTAAATCAATATGTAAGAGCTAGCCAATAAGAGGTTAGAACTAATGGGCCAAGCAATGTTTAAAAGAATACAATTTCCATGTAATTATTTCGGTGGTAAGATAGCCTGGATCCGGGTGAGAAAGCAGTCCACTGCTCCTTCTACAGGGCTGGACTCTCCCACATCAACCCACAGTCAAGGAAATGCCCGGTAGATTTGCCTACAGGCAGATCTGATAGAGGCACTTTGTCAATGGAGGTTTCCCTTAGTGGACACTCAAACAGGCTATAAAAACCTAGCCAGCACACATGCCTGGAAAGGTATAAACAAAATGGAGAAGATTTTCAATGGAAAAGTTCAACTTTCTTTTCAACATAGGCTCAGTTGTCTCAAGTTTGTTCTATGTGACTCTACTAAGGATGAAAACCCGAGGACTGGTGACTAAAGTTAAGGACATCTGAGGTTAAAAGTACAAAGAAAATGTTAACACAAAAGCAAAGGTCCAGATACTCAAGATTCATAATAATGAATTTAATTATTATACCGGAGATTTTGGTTGATGAATAGGGCTCTGGACATATGAAATTATCACACAAACCATGGCCTTTGGAGGTATTGGATGCTTGTGCAGTTCATTTAACTTGTAAACAAATTTTGTAGCAATTTTTTTTATTTGTTTTCATTTTATTTTAAGTGCATGGTTGTTTTTACCTGTGTCTGTGGACTCCTCTGGTGCAGTGCCTAAGGAAGCCAGGAGAGTGTGAGACCCCTGGGACTGGAGTTACAGATGGTTGTGAGCCACCCTGTGGGTGTTGGGAACCTAACCTGGGTCCTCTGGAAGAACAGTCAGCTCCTAACTGCTGAGTCATCTGTCCAGCCCCTAGAACAAATGATTTTTAAACTAAATCATACCTTGGAAACTGGCCACATAGAACACCCAGGGAATACAGTGAACTCATTGAAGAAGGCTTTAGATTACACTGTTATGGTAGAAAATGCAGGAGTTGGAAGATAAATGAAAAAAAAAACATTGCAATATTATACACAGCTCTGTAGCTTCTACATTTACTCAAAACATTGTTTAAAAACTAATACTGCATGATGGCTAATCTTGGTTGTCAACTTAACATGCCTGCAGAGAAGGAGTCTCAGCTGAGGAACTGCCTTCATAAGAGTGACCTGCGGCATGGCGTGTCTGTGTGGCATCTTCTTCATAGATATAGGAGAGTCCAGCCCTGGGCAGGAGGTTCTGGGTTGTCTAAGATGACAAACTTAGTGAGCCATGGGGTGAAAGCCAGCAGTTGGCATTTCTCTGTGGTCTGCCAGTTCCTGCCTTCAGGTTCCTGCCTTGAATTCTGATAGATTTGTGACATAAGTATCCTTATTGTCTCTCTCTCTGTCCCCTCTTCCCTCACTTCCCGCTCTGCTAGACAAATCTTAGAGAGATTTATCTGCTTCTGCTTCCCAAGCGCTGACATTAAATGGTAAGATTAAAGGTCTGTGCCACCATGCCCAGGCCTTTATCTTTATTTTGTGTCCAGCGAGGAGTTCACAGAGTAGCTGCATGTAGCTCACAGTCCCGCAGCAGTGCCTGGGTTTAACCCCAGGTGTGGCTCTCTCATGGCGCCTGTTTCCCAATCTACCACAATACCTCTCAGCTGTTCATCCCCACCCCCACTTCTGAATTTTGTATTTGGCATACAAATTCACTTTAACCTTGATCACAGTGCTTTGATTTTAAGATTCAGTTACTTCAGACTCAAATGTTCTGTTCCATTTTCCTGTAGGTTTCTTTATTTCCTGAATTCTTGCAAGTTAAAAAAAAAACATAGCCCTGGCTATTTTGAAACATACTTTGTGGATCAGGCTGGCCCCTGAACTTGTGTCTCTCCTCCAAACCCTGACTCCTGAGTGCTAGGAGTGTGCAGGTGTGTACCACCACATCTGACTTGCTTTGTGCCCACTTTAACTTGAACATTTCTTTAAAATAACAGGTTGATCTGCATGTAATAATTCAGGCACCGGTGCTCAGTTTTGGGTACCAGGGCAAGATAATGTTTCCCGATACATTGCCAGTTCTCATCAGGACATCTGGGTGTCATTAGCTCTTTGGCTGATGTAGGCCATTTCCAGTGGAACCATTTCCAGCTACAGTCAGTGGCCACGTGGCCACAGCCTTCAGGGAGCATGGTGTCGTGAGCTTTCTTAAGTCTATTCATTTGCTTATTCAACAAGTATTTTAAACACTTTGTCAATCTTTATTTTGGTTCCTGTGGAGAGCATGGAACGAAGGATCCACATCTCCAACTGTGTGGAGCATGCTGAGTAGATAGTTGATTCATACACAAATGGATGCTAGCTCAGGTAGCAAGTGCTATGCTGAAAAAAGCAAGCTAGGTAAAGAGGAAAAAGAGAGACTAAGATGAGGACACGCCATTTTATACAGGGTGTCCAAGGACATTCACGAGAAGGTAATGTGAGCAGAATGCAAAGGAAACCAGTATTCAGGGAAGAATAGTTCAGGGCAGTGGTTCTCACCCTTCCCAATGCTGTGACCCTTTAATACAGTTCCTCATGTTGTGCTGACCTCCAACTGTAAAATTATTTTCGTTGCTACTTCATAACTGTAATGTACGTATCTGTGTTTTCTGATGCTCTTAGGTGACCCCTGTGGAAGGGTTGTTCTCCCCCATTCCCCAAGGGATCTTGACCAACAGATTGAGAACTGCCATTCTAGGCACCCGGAACAGCAAAAGCAAAGGGTTTTGGGAAGCTACTACCCTGTCTGAGGTATGTCTATGTAGGTGCAGCGGCAAATTAAGAGTAAAGGTATTTTGGACAGGTGAGGTGAGTGTCATCGTGTGGCTAGAGGTCAATGGTAATGTGTTTACCCAGTTAATGTGAGGCCATGGCTTCATCCTCAATACCAACAAACAACAGAAAATAAAAATAACAAAACAGGTAGATCATATGTGGTCTTTTAAAATTGGGTCTTATTCAGCAAGAAATAGGGAGCCCTTGGGAGGTCACAGGCTTCCTAGTTCACTCTGCGGAGGATGCGAGGATGTGGTGGAGGCAGGGACGTCACTGAGCAGCTATTGAGAAGAGGGCAGTAGAGGTATGGATCTGGGTAATGGCAGAGATAGGGGCAAAATGGGATCAGATCTTGATTGTAGATAGCACAGAAAAGAAAGAAGTACATCTAAAATCAAGATTTTCGGCTTGAGAAACTGGAAGTATTGTATGGATGGTTGCCTATTATTGAATTAAGGAAATACTGTCACAGTGGTAGTGGTGGTGTGTGTGATGTGTGCATGAACTATGAACATATGTTTTTGTTTATGGTGATAGGGAGCTAGGGTCTTTATTCTGATTAACTATATCTTTGGATACATCATATGAGTAAAGGTATCCGGGGACGAGGGTAGGGTTAGCGTTCATACAGGTTTACACACACTGAAGGCATTCAAAGTCTAGATATCTTAGTGTTAAATGGGATCACCTAGGTAGATTAGGAATAAAAAGGGACCACAGGACTGAACCCTGGAGCATTCCAGCATACCACTTAAACTTGAAAGTTAGCTGGGTGTGGAGGTGGTGCATGCCTGTAATCCCAGCAATTAAGGGGGACCATGAAAATCAGGAACTCTGCTACACAGAATTTGAGACTAGCCTGGGCTACATGAGACCTTGTAGGATGAGCAGAGGCTTCTCTGGCTCAAGAGAGGCAGCAGGGCTTCCTTTCACGCTTGTATTTGTCTGTTTCTTGTGCCTACACATGTAGATTTTGTACCTTCTCTTTGTGTGTCATTTTCTAAGGGTTCTTATGCTGCACCATCTGCTTTTGTCTCCCCCACTGAACTGTGAGCCTTTGGAGAACAAAGACCTTGTTACAATTGTCTGTAGATGTCACCTCAGGATGATGCCCGGGTCATGACAATAATAATTATTTGTTATATCATAAAGGACATAGTAGTGTTCACTTTTGTACCCAAGATATTCTGTTATCTGTGATCTACTACAGTAAAGAGAGCAGAGTGAGCTGACCTAGGCCAAAGACCTCATCTGTTCAGCAGGAACTAAATGACACTAACTGTTCCCACCTACGGTGCCTTCATGTTTTACTCTATTCCTCTCCTGTCGAGGACCAGATTGAAGTCTATTTTCTCTAGAAAGCTTCTGCTGATTATCCATCTCACAATCTGTTAGTCAATCCCTACCCTAAGACATAGTACTGACACCGCAGCTGGACGTGTGGGTTCTTGGACTTTATAGTTCTCCCTTTGCTGACCACACTGCATCCTTAGGAAACATGTCCTAAACATGTCCTAAACAAAGCATTTTCTACTTTGTGACAATGGTGCCATTAAAATTAAAGGCTGACTAGGAACTTAGTATCAAATAAAGTATAGTCTTGATCAATAACTTGTGAGAGCTACAACTATCCTCCTCTAAAGCATAGACCTACCAAGTTCTATAAAAATAGCCGTAAACACACCCCAGTTATACAAGAGGATCAGGATGCTATAAAATGTACGTAAGGACTATAATTATACCCTGTGCTGTAGGTTTCTCCTAAACCAAATACGCATATTAAGATGAGTGTTTGCAACATATTAACAAACAATAGTGTGTTCTTTCTTTTTTTAAAGACCTAATAGGTTATTGGAGGATTATTCAGGCCCATTAACTAATGATCACTCCTGCTAGGCTGGAAGTGATTGCCTTGCATACTGTATAGGCAGGCTATTCTCCCCAGAGCAGAGGCTTAGCAAGCAATCCTGTTGATCCTTGGTTGCATTCAAAGTAGTAGGCTCAAGGAAGGTTTCCTATCTATTGTTTAAGAAACAGCTGGTATTAGAATTCTCTAGAGGAATGGAACCAAGAAAGTATGTGTGGATTAGATTAGTTATATGATTGGAGGCTTGGGGAGTCTGATGATAGTCATTTATACACTGGAGAGCCACAGACTTAGTAGTTGGTTAATGCCAAAATCCAAAAGGCACAGCAGCCTTGGTGTGATGCCAAAGCTTGGGAGACCTCTGGAAGTCTGCTTGAGTCCACACAGAGAGGATGAGAAAGATGGAGCCCAGTGGCCATGGCCAGTGGCACCAACAATAGATATACCTACTGTCTGGCTTTTTCTTTGGAAGTATGTTTCATCCAGCTCCCCCACCATACCATTGAGTTGTGTTTTCCCCACAGTTACTGTCCCATATGCCAATCTTCTTTGGGGATACCCCCCAGACCTTCACTGTTTGTAGGCATCTCTCCATCCAGTTGAGAAGATTGGTCTACAAGCCTTCTCTGAAAAGACATGTTCTGCTCCATTCTTCTTGGGAATGGATCTTCTTTTCATAATTTTTATTGTAGGAGTAATCAAACAATTACTGATTGGAAGAAAACTACTACTACTAATAGGGTCTTCAGAATATCTGTGACAGGCTTTCTAAGAGGCCTGACTGTCCTTGCATGGACACCGACAGGATAAGGAACTTTGCTGAAGGCCTGCTGTCTCCTGGTGGGCCTGCCATGGGGCTCAGGAGACACTGGGA